ACCATTTTTAGATCTTGGCTACCAAATAGATCTCTATGCTAAGTCATATTATAATATTCAAAAAGGTTGGTGAAATAAGTCAATTGGATTGTGTTATAGTGCTGCCAAAGGAGGATGATATCAGAAAATAGACTCAAAGAACCACATCCCGGTTGAATGAGAGAGCGTTGTGTGTGTGTGTGTGAACTGTTGAACCCAATCAGATCAGGGCAGACTGGAGGACATGCAGTTCAGATGATAGAGCCAAAGGAAAAAACATAGTCCATTCGCATAGACCATACATAGAGCACCTTCTGACATCTGGGGAGAAAGCTAAATTGTGCCTGGAAAACACTCTAAAGACTAGCAAGGTTAGAAGAGAAGCGTGTTATTTTAAAGGTCAAAAGAACTGAAGTTGTGATCAAGTTCAGTTGCAGATACACGTGACTTGCTTATGTCATCTTTTGTTGTCTTCAAGATCCATTACAATTGAATGATTACTGATTGCAACGGCACTGAAAATTGCTGTCAGTACCTACATTTTCCTGTCAAATTTCTAAAGAAATGTTCTTTAGAAGCAAAGCTGAAGAATATTTTAAGGCTAATGAGTATATAAACACTAAAAGTAAGAATTATTAAAACAATTGAGAAAAATGGAATTTATTTGAGTCCGTTTCTAACTCAAAATTGTTAAAAAAAAAAAGTCCAACTTATGCCTTAAAGTAACACAAATAGAATTTTTAAATATAAATAAATTCAATGATGAAAGAAAAATAATCAAAAATAAAAAATATGATTATTTTGCTTAGACTATTGGCAGATTATTTAGCTTGTTTTAAGGAAAAACTCACTTCATTTAGACATATTATTACTGAAAACAACACAATTTTTGTTGCTTGTCTAGAAAACGCTTCTTGATTTAAGAATTTTTAGATATTTGTCATAGAAACAATACAAAAAGTGCAGTGTAGGCAAACATACAGTATACATAAAAAAATCCAGTCCTAAGTTTTTCAACATGCCTTACAAAAGAATTCAGGTTTAGCTCATCAACATACTCTTCTACAATCTCAGAAATAAAGGTACGCAAGCTGTCACTTGGGCGGTACCTTTTCAAAAGGTACAAATTTGTACCTAAAAGGTCCAAATTAATACTTCAAGGGTGCATATTAGTACCTAAAAAGTACAAAAGTGATTTCTTCAAAAATTGTAGGTACTAATATATACTTTTGAGGTACCAATAGGGACCCTTTAAGTACAAATGTATACCTTTTAAAAAGGTACCACCCCAGTGACAGATTGTGTACCTTTATTTCTGAGAGTGTAGAAATGAGTTTTTGGTTCAATTTTAGGTCTGTTGCGCTGAACTGTTCGGTTTGAGGAAAATCGAATTATTGAGCTCGCATGAAATCAAACCTCCCACATATAAAAAATATCGTTGGGCTAATATTGTATGTAACAGATTGTAAAACTGCCATGTTAAAAAAAAAACTCTCACAGCTGAGGTGAAGGTAAATATAACTTAATTGTATATTCTTCCCCTATGTATGTACATTAGGTATTTTCACTACCATTTATTTATAACTCAGTCATGAAGTCTATAAATGCTTTCTTCTTTATTAAGATTGATGTAGATCGTTGTGTAGATGAATATGTTTTATTCAGTTGCTTTTTTTAAATAAATAAAACCATTATAATCTTCTCAACAGTGAATTACAGCATAAACAAGCATCTTGAATTCTTTCATAGCAATAATGACAATTTCACAGTAGAATTACATGCCTGATGAAGGTAGATGAGCCGTTTGGTGAGGAGCCACGCTAATCTGAACAGTATTTGCGAAAAAGTCATGCATGGTTGTGCAGATTTTATACAGATATTATAATAACAATAAAGCAACAACAAAACATTGTGCATGCGAGAATGCAACCCCCATATCAACACACACAAATGAACACACACATCTGCATGAATCATCCTCTTTTTATCATTTGGCTAATCATACTTGAATGCTTGGGTTTCTTGTTTTGTATTATATTTTGGTTTACTCGCATTCTCTAACCCAGAATCCAAAGACCCTACAGTGTGTCATTTCCTCACAGTGATCATATGCAGTTGAAGTCAAAATTATTAGCCCTTTTTTCTTTTTCAAATATTTCCTAAACTATGTTTAAAAGAGAAGCAAATTTTTGACAGTAATTCCTATAATATGTTTTTCTTTCTGAGAAAGATTTAATTGGTTTATTATGGATAGAATGAAAGCTGTTTTTATTAAAAAAAAGAAAAAAAAACTTTTTAAGGCCATTATTATTAGCCCTCTTAACCATTTTTTTCCAGAGTGTCTACAGAACAAACCACTTATACAATAACTTACCTAATTACCCTAATATGCCTAATTAGCCTAATTAATTTAGTTAAGCGTTTAAAGGTGCTGTATTTAATTTTTTGACTCTTCTAAAGCATATAAATACCATAATAAGTTTGCAGATATTTAAGAAACAGTCTAAGTGATTCTTTTTTTAATCTGAAAGACAATGCTTAAGTCAGTCTTGTCTGTCTGTGGTCTGTCTTTGTTGTGGTCCCTTTAACCCGCCCAATGCCAGTTTAGACAATCATATTTCAGCACCCCGGGTTGCTTTGGTGGAAAACAGTGGCTGTTTCTCAATTCCAAGAACGCAGAGAATGGACTTGCGTTCTTGTGGAGACCGGTCTTGCCAAGTGTCCTCGGAAGAACGAACTCAGGAGACCACGAGGGCAGAGAACGCGTCCTTTGAGAATTGAGATGCTGCGTTCTTTCTGATGGTCATGTGACCTTCACGCGTTTTAAATGGAAATTATTTAAACATTACAGCCTTCATACAACGATTTATTGTTTTCTCCCTCTTCAAAATATAGACTTTGCATAAAAACATTATAAATATACTCTGCATAATATAAATAAAACTCATTTTAATACGAATTTCAGCAAACAAACAACCCTTAATGTGTTTATTCCTTTATTAAGATATTCATGTTAATGTTTACTTTCACCGTTTCATTTAGGGAAACTCCTGAGGTAAATAAGTGATATCTCTGAACTTTAATAATAAATCTAAATAAAAAGTCTGCGCTTCCCACCTCCAGTCACAATGACTTCTGGGACATCCAGAGCGAGTTCGGTGCTCAAGTCTGCATCAGTGCATCCTCGATATCAAGATCACATCCGGGAAGTTTCACGCGTCCTCCGTACTTGCGGTCTTGAGTATTGGAACTGAACTTAGGCAGCTGATGATGACGTTGCACGAGAACACGAGGACGCAAGACTGCTGAAGAACACATATTGAGAAACAGCCAGTGTATTTCATTCATTCAGTCAGGAAGGCTGTAGAGCAGGGGTCACCAACCCTGTTCCTGGAGAATTACCTTCCTGCAGAATTCAGTCCCAACCCTGATCAAACACACCTGAACCAATTAATAGTACCTAAAGCGCACTTGATAATCACAAACAGGTGTTTTTGGTCAGGGTTGCAACTGAAATGTGCAGGAAGGTAGCTTTCCAGGAAGAGGGTTTGTGACCCCTGCTCTACAGTATGCATCCGCGACCAAAAATGTGCCCTCTGATGGGCAGTAGGAGCCTCCAAATAGAGACGCAGATTTAGAGTTCCACATGAGGTGGTGATCAATTAGCAAATAATATAAATATTACTAGCGTAAACATTAGGTGAGCAGGTTAAATTGTAACCGTTTGCCAACAACACGCTATGTGATGAGATTTGCAGTGATAAACAACTGTGGCTGTTTGCACCAGATGAAGCATGACAGAAATATAAATGCAGCCATTCAGAAGCACAAAATAGTGCACTTACTGCACTCCAACATTATGGTAAGGTTTATATTCTAACTAATACATATTAAACCACTTTAGCATTATTAAATGTAGATGCTGAATCACTGATATGTATTGGTTTGCACTGAGTCACAATTGTAATGTTTAATTTCAAATGGTTTATTTTATTTTTAAGATCTGAGGTGAACCATCTGCTGCTGCCCTCAGTAGCATGGCAATAATTGTCATGTAAAATAGCATTTAAACTCACATTATTAGCATTTAATACTGAATAAAGCACAAGAGGTGTACCTGAGGTGATCATTGTCTGTTGTCTGTTGTTCACCTGCAAGAAATGGAAGCCGTTTCTAATGTATCAATTTGAGGTGTTGGTTAGGACAAAAGCACTTTTTAATATGGAAAATATTTCTTCTACCGCATGATGTTGCTTTTAGTTAGAACAAAATATTAATCAACATTTAGGCTCAATAGTCAGACATGCTCCTGTTGGTGTCATCAATCTGGCAACCTGCACTTGCGTGTGTTTTGAACCAGGAGTGCAATACCTAGTTTAACCACTGGGTCTCAAACTTACATACTACACCTTTAAATGTCACTTTAAGCTGAATACTAGTGTCTTGAAAAATATCTAGTAAAATCTTATATACTGTTATTATGTAATAACTGATAAAAGAAATCAGTTATTGGAAATACGTAATTAAAACTATTATGTTTAGAAATCTTCTTTCTGTTAAACCGAAATTAGGGAATAAAATAGTGGGGCTAATAATTCAGGAGGGCTAATAATTCTGACTTCAGCTGTATGTATTTTTTAAATCCTTAAGGTCTTTTAGTTTTTCTTTTGCCTGATAATTAATACCATTCAAAAAAAAAAAAATCCCCATTTGCCATAGACCTGTCACAAAATAATGATCAATCTCACTTGTGCACTTGTTTTTGTCTGAATTAAAAACCATTAATTTTATGTAGGTGTGTGCGTGTGTGCGTGCGTGCGTGCGTGTGTATGTGTTTTCAATGTTACATTATACATGTGTCCGGTTGAAAGTGTGTGAATGTGTCACATGCTTGTATGTGCTTCCTTTTGATGTGTTTTCATTGTTCGTTCAATGTGTGTCATCGTAGAACGTTCCTCGACAGCTTGTTGTCTTAGTTAAAGGCTGTTTCTCTTCTTTCTGATGTACTTGTTGCTTTAAAGGTGCATCTACCCAGAATTCCAATGACATTGAGCCTGAAAAACAGGTGGACAGCACAGTAAAGATGGCAGGCGTCATTGCAGGAATCCTCATGTTTGTCATCATTCTCCTGGGCCTTCTCCTCACCTTCAAACGCAGGTACTGGTCACAAAATACACTGGTAAATTAATATAGCATTCATGCATTTAGACTTATATGTGAATGCACAATAGCTAAGGCACTTTTCTCCTGAGAGGAATATGAAGATGTTAATTAGCATCGCTTTCGACATGATCAGCTTTTGTGTCTTCTGGTGAAACATGCACACTGGCTTTCTTTCATTACATCACTTCCTCTCACCAACTTTACCGCCCAACACACCCCTCTTCATGTCATTGTGCCTTTCAAGAGCCCGTCACTTCATATAGTTCCCCTAGCATCCCTGTGCTCACATAAAGATCTATACACTTCTCAAAACTCCTTCCGGTGTTTGTCTGTCGAGCCGTTTCTTCTGTCTAAGCACGAAGCAGTGTTTGTCTCACCTGCTTTTGAAGTGTTGAATGTTAAAATTGAGGTCAAAACGAGAGGTTGAGGTAGATGGGATGGGGTTGAAAACATCCTGTCAATGATAGGTCAACATATGGGCTATAAATAATACATACGTTTGGGTATTTGGAGATTTTGTGCACTTACAGAGATGGTAGTTCTCTTGTGTCAGATTTAAAAGGTAGTTTCTGATATTATCTATAAATGGGATAATAAATACTCTGAGAAATGCTGGGGTGTTTTAACCCAAATTTAGGCAAAATTAAATAAAAAGTAATTAAAAATATTAAATATAAAATGTAAATGTGAAATATGTAACACAAAGGTTTGGTTCATCCATATTTTACCCAAATTTGGGTTCAAAACGCCCCCCAAATAATTTAGAGTGCACACATATTCTTATTATTCTAATATATTTTTAGATGTTTAGTAATAAACTGTTTCTATTTTTAAATATTATAGAAAATTATCTGCAAATATAAATATTTTTTCACACATTTTGTGCATTAAACATTATGCAACATCAAAATGTGTACATTTTCATATTAAAGTAAATATACATTTGTTCATAACAGTTATATGGATATTATTATATAAGCAATTTGTGTTTTTCTTTTTTATTGTAGTAATAAAACAATAAATATTGTCTCAAAAAATGCATTCTTATGCATGACCATTTTCCATTTTTAAATAGAATTGTTTGTAATGCATTGGCACTGGCATTATATACATAAGTGCTACTTTATGTTGCATATTAAATATACAATAGTATGCTGAATTTATATACAATTTGCTTACAAAACAGTAGTTCAATGGGGTATATGCACACAGACTTTTAATTTCAGCCAGCCAACCCCAGGGCATCCGGTTAATTGTCATCCTGTATGAAATTGCAGCCTTTAAGACCTGATTTCGTAAAAAACAATAACAACAACAATCATCGTTGCCTGGCTGATATACAATTTAAAGTGGGTATATGACCAAATAAGAAGCACTGCATTATATTTTTGTGCCATTTCTTTAAAATATGGAACTTAATTTTAGCCCAGTATTTTCAATTGAATTTCTGTGCTCTGCTATTGACGGCGCCTCAGTTTTTGTCTCTTTTTACACTTTAACAACAAAATGGATTCTTAAGTCTATCAATGCTGTAAAAAAAAAAAAAAAAAAGTATGAAATTGATAATAGTCACATAAAGCTTTCACCGTAAATTCATCATTGGCTGAAAAACATTAGCTGTGCATACAGTTAAAGTAAGAATTATTAGCCCTCCTTTGAATTTTTTATTTATTTATTTTTTATTTTTTTTATATTTCCCAAATGGTGTTTAACAGAAAAAGGAATTTTTCACAGTATGTCTAATAATAATTTTTCGTCTGGAGAAAGTCTTTCGGCTAGAATAAAAGCACTTTTTAAATTTTTTTAAACACCATTTTAAGGTAAAAATTATTAGCCCCTTTTAATTAACCTAGTTAAGCCTTTAAATGTCACTTTAAGCTGTATAGAAGTGTCTTGAAAATGATCTAGTCAAATATTATTTACTTTCAAAGGTAAAATAAATCAGTGATTGAAAATAAGTTGTTAAAACTATTATGTTTAGAAATGTGTTTAAAAAATCATCTCTTCGTTAAACAGAAATTGGGGGAAAAAATAAATGGGGCTAAGAATTCTGACTTAAACTGTATATCTTATTATATATATATTTTTTTCTAGATTTCTTTTCCTAAGATGCATTGCACTTTTACTGATTAGTGGTAAATAGAATGCCATTATAAAATACTTTTTGTTTGCCTTTTCTTGTAGTCATGTCAACAGTAATTCAACAAATGATGAAAAAGAGCATTTTAACTAGGCGCATATTGTAGTTAAGTACACTTGCTGCATTTATAAGAGCCAGTTTAAGTGTCTAAACAAATGTTTAAGTCTTGTTAAAGCATATCAGAAGGTGCTTCTCTGTTTTATCTTCCACAACTTTTAAAATGGAAAATATGAGCAATTGTTTTTGAAGTATTTTGAAGGACTTATTTGTATTACCTTTTTTTGTTTGTTTGTTTGTTTTTTAGAATTAGCATGCAGTTTTAAAATGTCACACTTATCTTTATTATTTATTAATTATCATCATTCTGTACCATGTTGTAAAATATGTTTTGATGCAACTTTCTGACATTCGGAGCATAGGAAATCTTCCTTAAATTATACTGTATGCACTTGTACTTACATTCCTGAACTCCATGAAGTTTCTTATCTAGTACACTCACCGGCCACTTTACTTTTAGGTATACTTTACTAGTATTAGAACAAGTTGCCTATAGAACTGCCTTAATCCTTCCTGGCATAGATTCAACAAGCTACTGGAAATATTGCTCAGAGATTTTGGTTGCTGCAGATTTGTTGGCTGCACATCCACGATGCGAATCTCCCGTTCCACCACATCTCAAGGTTGCTCTGTTTGATCGAGATCTTCTGAGTGTGGAGGCCATTTGAGTACAGTGTCATGTTTATGAAACCGATCTGAGATGATTCACACTTTATGACATGGTGTGTTATCCTGCTGGAAGAAGCCATCAGAAGATAATGGGTTCATTGTGGTCATAAAGGGATGGACATGATTAGCAACACTGGGCTCAAAGTGTGCTAGGAAAATATCCCCCACACCATTACACCACCACCATCAGCCTAACACTACCATCTGAATGTCACAGCAGAAATTGAGACTCATCAGACAAGGAACATTTTTTCTAATCTTCTATTGTCTAATTTTGGTGAGCCTGTGCTAATTGTGGTTCTTTGTGGTTTTTTGAGTTACTGTTGGCTTTCTATCTGCTGGAACCAGTCTGGCCATTCTCCTCTGACCTCTGGCATCAACAAGGCATTTGCACCAACAGAACTTCTGCTCACTGGATATTTTCTCATTTTGAACCATTCTCTGTAAACCCCAGAGATGGTTGTGCATGAAAATTTCAGTAGATCAGCAATTTCTGAAATACTCAGACCAGCCTGTCTTGCACCAACAACCATGCCACGTGCAGTTTGAACTGCAGCAGGTCATCTTGACCATGTCCACATGCCTAAATGCATTGTGTTGGTGCCATGTGATTGGCTGATTAGAAATTTGCGTTAACGAGCAGTTGCTTAGGTGTACCTAATAAAGTGGCCAGAAAGTGTATAAAGCTCCAAAACTAAGAGGGCAATAGAAAATCTCCTACTGTATAGATCAAATCCTGCTTTGACGCATTAATATTCTTTAAGCTATATTTAGGTTAGAACTCATGCTGCTTTACTAAAATATCTGATTAAGTTAACCACATCTTTACGCAGATTAATCTTAGATTTTTTCATTCATTTTTTTTACCCATTTGATTGCTCACAAGGACAAGGTGATGACCGGGGCCTTAGTTAAAGTGTAAGACACATTCCACACAGCAGCCACAGTTGGAAATACAATAGTAGTTAAAACCAGCAGCTAAATCAATAAGCTCTAATTACCATGAATTGTAAAGGAGAGCTTGACAGCACCATTGTTAGTGCGTCACTGTCTGCAGCGGCGTGGATTGAAACTTAATGATAGATCTCGCTATTAAAAGAGCGGGAATCAAAAGGTTAGCCGTAAATGGCCCTTGTAGGTGTTCATCTTTCACGGTCGATGGAGGAAGGCCACGTCTGCTATTCATAAGCCAGAAACTGGAAGCTGGAATATTACAATAATAGCTTGTGTTTTTTTTTTTTTTTTTTTTTTGAGTTTTCAGATGTGTGGGCGTCAGCGTGGCGGAAGTTATATGCAAATATAAGAGTTCCACAAGTCTGGATTCAACACATATAGCTCAAACTGTTGTTGGCTTGAAAACTTTACAGCTTTAAGTCATGCGTTTAGACACCGGCGCACCGCAGCCCTAGTGAGCTGCTATCTATGTAGACAGATACCTTTCAAAACAGTCCCTTTATGTTGACGTTTTGCTGAGCTAGCAATTCTTTGATTTGAAAAACACAAAAATACATAGCATATGTATTGGATGAAATAATTGTAGTACCTTTTAGATGTAGTTTTTTATTACACTGCTTTCAGATTCAGATTTCAGAAAAAAATGTTTGATTTTAAATATTGTTTTAATTATCCTTCTCTCTGTAAGTCTTACTATCTCTAAAATAAAGGTGCACAAATGTGTTTTTCAAATGTTACTCTTTGGTACTTTAAAGGTCCATATTTGTATATATTAATAACTGGAAGAAAAAAAACTACAAAAGTGCACCTTGGGGTACCTTTAAGGTACCAGTGTGAACCTTTTAATTACAAAAGTGTACCTTTTAGGTTCAAAATTGCACCATAGTCTCCATCTAGTGACAGCTTTACCTTTATTTTTGGGTGCACCCACACAATGCTCTCTGAACTATGCCGGACAAGTTTCCCAGTTCGTTTGACAAGTGTGAGTGCTTTGAATCAGGCCCAGGCATGGTTTAGTTGGCCAGCCCTGGTCCGGTTGGAAAAGGTGTGTCAGAGCATGGTTCGGTTAGTCTTTGGCACGTTACGCTTGTATTGTCAGTGCAAAGTGTACCTGAGCCCGAAACTAAAGATGCAACTTTTAAGGGACTTTTTTATATGGATTTAATAATCATTCTTACTTTTCTTAATGAATATAAACTGTCTTAGTTTATTAAAGACGCAAACCCCTAGCTGCACATCAGCACCTTCAGCAAACGTCATAATACCTGCCTTTATGAACATTTATGAGCGTCAAAAGTGCTGGATCTGTTCGGCAAAATATTTGACTGCAAGTCACTGCATTCCAAACAACTAAAATAATACAAAACAATATAACTAAAGCAACGTCGACTGTGCTGAGCGCGAGCGATTCTCTTCCTGTTAAACATAACGGTTGCATCATCGATGACGTAAACATGCTCCGGCTAAAAATAAAATGCAATGTAAGTGCAGGTGGTGGGGGGCAAGCGTGCTTCAACACGGTTCAAGACAACTGTACCTAGTGTGATGTGCGTACGCCCTCTGAGAGTGTATATATCTTCTGTTCAGTATTGTTAAAGGGATAGTTTACCAACAATTTTAAATTGCACTCAATATTTACTGTCCCTTGAGGGATTCCAAGCCTTTGAGTTTCTTTCATCCGTTGAACTCAAAATATATTTTGAAGAAAGTCGAAAATTTGTAGGAAAACAAACACTTGGAAGTCAATGGTGTTTGGTTTCCAACATTTTTCAAAATATCTTCTTTTGAGTTTAACAGACGAAAGAAACTCATAATGGTTTTAAGCAAGTAATGGGTAAGTAATCGATGATTTTCATTTGTGGGTAAATTAACCTTTTAATATGATGTTAATGGTTATCTGGTCCACAATATTTTAGCATAAAAACAGTATGCACATAATTTATGGAATTTTAAAATAATTTTACTTGTTTGTTTGTGTAGCAAAACACATTTGTAGTAATGATTAAAACAAAAGTAGCATTCTCATCACTTTCAAAAATGAGTAAAATGATTTTTTTGATTTTAATAGTGACATAACCCAAAAATAAATGTTGAAAAATGAAAACATTCTGAAATACTGTCTTCATAGCTTAATGGAAATATTAATAATGTTAACTTGGTAGGAATGTTAACTTTATTGCAAGTTGTTGTTTTCTAAAATAATCAGAAACTGAATTTGCATTTAAGACCAAATTGGGCACACAATCATTTGTTGGATATTTGTTTATTTTATCTGAATTATTCAATGCTGTCTTTTCATGTCTATGTTTAAAATGTCTATGTTTAAAATATCTATGTGTAAATGATTTCAGGTGTGTTAAGTAAAGAAATAAAAGCATCTACTAGGGTTTGAAACAGAGAGTAGAATAGCTCATTGTGTGCATCAGAGAACTGAAGAATTCGGTTTTGTCATGATTGGAGATCTCCACTCTGCTTATACACACTCTCCCATTCTGTATTCACCAGAAAAAGACAAAATTGCGTATCCCTCAGCTTCTTTTGATCATCTATATTTTAAGCACTGACACTAGCACTTAAGTCAGCCGATGATGTCTCACCAATTGCAGCATTTTACATGTCTTTCAGTCACCATGAATTATTTCCGTGGCATCAGAAATGCTCATAAACTATGCTTTTTTATCTTGCGGAGCTTGTGTAAAGCATGCTTTTTTGTAACGACAGGAGAAATGGACTTCATTTTTAAACTAATAATACAAGGATGAATGGAGTGAACAGGCTGAGTCTAATGGCAAATTGATGTTTTACTTCTTGGTAATAAAATGTCCCCTCAGGCGTCTTTGACCAAGCCTAGGATAGATTGTTATTAATAATTGATGGCTCACATATCTTTTAAAAGTAGGAATTGTGGGGCTTCTTTTTGAATCGAGTCACAGGAGATTTGTCTCTGGTGCCATTCAGTTTGAAAACCTAAACATACAAGACCTGAAGCGAGCATGCATTGGTGATGGTGCTTCATAAAGTCTAATGTGCTGTTTCACATTTCTGGATGCTGCCTCTTATGTGCAGCAGGCAATATTTTATTTCTTGTCTTACAAAATATATCAAGAACATGGCTAGGTCACATTTTAACCCAAAACAAAGGACTTTTTAAGAAAACAAGTCCTATTTTGAGGCTATTTAGGCTATTATGGACATTCAGATGGAAAAAAAAGTGCTGACTGAAATTTGCATAAAAATTTAGCATTTTCTGAGCATCTTATAATTATTGTTGAGTTATTTAACTTTAAATATCATGAAATGAACTTATTATTTGCATAAAAGAGGAAATTGCTGATAAAAATGTTTATTTTAGAAGAATTTCAGACGGCTTTTAAAGGTTTTTGCATCTGAACTATTTTCTGCAAAGTATCATTACAGTAATATGTACTGTGTGTATTTTTAATGTTTGAACTGACACATTCTCATTATTTTACAATGATGATCGGCATTGGATTGTAATTATTATTTTTTTAATTATTCAGTTATTTTGAACACATTAGCACCATAATCAGTGTATGTTCTTTTATATCTTTAATCAAAACTGATGAGATGTCCCATTTTGGCATTAATAAATTATACTAAAGTGATTTTATATGCCTAGAAAGCAGATTAAATCCAAGTAATGTGTCTGTAAAATAGTTTTAGCATTATTTAGTGTAACAGACATCAAGTGGGTATGTAAAATATTCAGACTCCCTTGATTTTGCAGCCATTTGCTAAATCATTTAAGTAGATTTGTTTCCTTACACACAGCACTCTATATTGACAGGAAAGCACAGAATTGTTGACATTTTTGCAGATTTATTAAAAACGAAAACTGAAATTTTGTTCAGTGTTTAGTAGAAGCACTCCTTTTGATCGTATACAGCCATGAGTCTACAAATGTATAATAGTTATTGCTTTTTTTTTTTTTTTTTTGCCGTACATTCCATTTATAATAAAATCTACAAAATTAGTGATTGTATTACATCCATACTATTATGAAAGATGGAAAAAAACTTACAAATAGGTTAAACCTAGTGGTTTGAAAAGTTAAAATGGCTGTTTATGGGAATATTAGTAGTGGATCACTTTAATATGTCATCAAATGATTTTTGTAACACATTTGCTTGCTTAGACTTAATATGGAGTCAGTTCAGGGCTATATATACTTGGAAAATGAAAAAGTTTTGCAAACAAAAAATAAAGTATTAAGGAACAAATAAATAAATATATGCACATCTCCAAAATTAAGCCATGTCATCATTTGCTTGCCAACTGCCATAAAACTTTGAAAGAAGAAAAAGCAGAAGCATGGCTGAGCAGAGGCACACAAGAGAAGTTCAGGTATGTCTAACTGATAGTTAGTTGACAGTAACCCCCTTGTCAAATCAGGGCCACAAAGAGAAACGCACAGAAATGTGAAGTTCAATGTAAAAACAATATATATATATATATATATATATAT